TTGACAGCCCACTGATAGCACTGGATTTATGCACCAATTTATCATCTCCCGCCTGCAATGCGCAGCTACCTACCCCCCCCCCCGGTGAACGAAACTGCGGCAGCTACAACCACTGTACGACGAGCACGTGGTTATCACAGCTGACAATGATGATGATGATGAAAACTTCAGTCTGTTGTCCACCTGAGCCATCTTCGTTTTAGGGATTGTTAGGGTTCTCCTGCTTGAAATCCTGTCCATCACACAATGAAACACTAGGTGGCATTCACGAACACGAGGAAGAATAGCGAGACAAGAAACAAGTATTGCTCATATGCAACAATGTGCATATGAACGCAGTAACCAAGATGTCATTTAAAACAAAAGAATAAAAGTCGGCTGTTCGACAGTGTGTGGAGGAACAGAGGTCAGTATGGACCCTTAAGTAATCAGCGCTCTGCTCTGGTAACCAGTTTCTGCAGACCAAGTGAGCTTGAGTATCCGTACAAATTGTTTTCCCACACAGAGTCCGGGTTTTAACAACTCGATGGATATCGCCTGGGCAATCGCGAGTAGTAGAACTCTCATAGACTACCGAGATTCGGTACATCTAAAAGGCTTTGATAGGGACGACAGTACGAACAGAATCAATCGAGTGCACGGCAACTGGACTGGGTTATCTAATTCCACACTGGACAGTTGGAAAACTCTTGGAACCGACCGAGAAGTCACGATTTTCGGAAAAAATTTGGTATTTTTCCTCCAAACTTTCCCGAAAACGAACGACAGGGTTCATGAATCCTGTCAGACAGTTGCCTGGATGTATGATGCCCTGCATGACTTTCGACTCAGCGCACACAAGATTCCTTCGTTTCATGCTGGGTTGGAAGTTTACCCGTAAATTGGGTGCTTTGTAGGTCGCTCTGGTGCCTTTTCGTAGTCCCTATAATACCATTTTGGCCGCAGTCACCTCTAGAGGACAAACCGGTTCCTTCTCATCATTGTCAGCTGCAACACCCGCGTGCTTGTCCTACAGTGGTTGTAGCTGCCACGGTTTCGTTCACCGATGATTCGGGGAGGTGGGTTAGGTAGCTGCGCATTGGAGGTGGGAGCTGATAAATTAGTCCGTAAGTACAGCACTGCAGATGGACTGTCAAGTGGGGGGATTGGGAGGTGAGCTATGCATTGAAGGCAATAGCTCAAGTTTTTATCAACACCCGATAAAGTTTAGATGATTGCAATCGTGAATGGGATTACATAATGAAAACGACAGACATCAACCGTGAGTCAGGGTTCAACTGGATGCACAGATAAAGGCAACAGAAGTCGCAAACTGGAAGATTCTTAATCCTAAATCAGAGAACGGATATTGGCTGGGTGAAAATTGAGCATTTGCAGCCACACAGAACCGCTACAGCCTGTTGAACACAGATAACAACGATCTATGGATGATACCGGTGTCCATGTCCGAATCAATCAGTCGCTAACAACTAACGTGAGGGAATCGTATTTTCAGTTTTTTTTCGTTAAGTGTCATTAGTACAGTGGATAGTGGATACAGTAATTTTACTCATTACAAAGGCGGTTAGTTAATCCAAGCACTGTGATCTGTCGACTTGACTAGTTCCAGAAAACAAGCCTAAACAGGGTAATTTGAGAGGCAGAGGTCGGGTCCGAACCACGGCCGTCCAGTCAGG